GATCTGCTGCAGCGTTTGTCTAAACGCTACCTTTGAAGGAGTCGCTCGCTCCTGAGCGCCATCGAGTTTTTCTTTACCACTAACCAGACATTCCGTGCTATCCGAAATCAAAATCGCTGCTACGTTATGTCTGGGTCCCGGCTTCAACTGGCAGGCTTCAGTGATGAGTATGTAAATCCACAATATACATTTACCAGTGCGTCTATGAGATTTCACTATGATACAGTAAAGAATCAAAGAGTTGCAGAAAAGTTTACAGTTGAGCATTTTCAAAGGAAAGAGCAAAATCCGGAATATTTAAAGTGTTCTAAAAGCACTGTACTTCACAGTCTATTAAAATTTTCATTTCGGAAAACTGGAACTGCGATATGGCACAATGAGCAGTTGTGATAGAAACTGAATGCGATACGAAATTTCATAACGGATCAATTAACAAGACGCTTGTCAAAGAACTTTAAGACAGAACTGCAGAGGCGCCTGTCCGAGTCTGAAGTGGCAGTTTCAGCCTGAGGAGTGAAAATTTATTACTCTAGAGGATTGCTGCCTGCCATATGGCTAGTTGTTTAAGTGGCAGCTTTGATCCAGACCGTTAGCAATCGCACCAAATTCCTTTTGTTCCAGTCTTGCCGGAGCTTCATTTCTTTCCCATTTCCCAGTCAACAGTCTAATCCATCTCAACTATTAATCCCTGACACTAGAACTTGTTTAACGTTGAAATCTCACTGTTCTTGCTTGCATCACGACTTCTTTTATTTACCATTCCAAGCGAACTCTAAAAACATTTCTGACTAAAGCCTTACCAAGGTGCTCCTGTCAGGAGTATCGATGAGCTGTTAATGCTTTCAGGAGACCAGGTAACCCAGCAATGTTCAAAACAATTGGCCAGCTCACCGACTGTCAGTGCGAAGATGCGTTTTTTGCACAGTTCCTCGCAGATTTTTATCGCTACTGACACTGTTTCTAGCTAAAAGAAATGAGGCCGGTCCTACGACTCCGAAAGAACGTTCCCTCAAAACTTCAGCTTTCTAGCTTTTCTGGTTCCCGAGTTGACAGCCCACGTGATTCCCACGCACGAAACTGTCAAAAACTTTGACAGGCCCGTACGTGGGAATGAAGTGGGTAAAAGCGCGCACTTTGGGATGGGGGTCGTATGTGCATATAGTTAAGTTCCAAAAGTTTCAGCCTTGTGGCTTTTTTAGGTCTCAAGATGAAAAATCGATACAAATGAACATACAGACACACACCCACACAGACAACTCCTTGACAGTGTGCGTTTTTGCATTGCATAGATGCAAACCCAGGTTGGAGCCCATCAGGCAGGCCCGTGCAACCATGCGTTTTTGCACCGGACTTGAAGTACTCAGGTCACTAACTGCATGAATGATTGTTGCTTTACACTCACGTTTGCGGTCACTAGCATAAATCACCATAAATCTTGCATAAAGTAAATGTACAACTTGCATTTAACGGTCGTTCTTTAAAAGTAACCTAGCTGTTCAGTGAGAAATTTTTCCGTCAAGACTTTTAACTACTCGTACGTAAGAACCACGCATAC